GATAGATGATAGATGATAGATGATAGATGATAGATGATAGATGATAGATGATAGATGATAGATGATAGTTGATGGAAGGTGCTCAAGGGGAGGGGAGTTAAACCTTCATCTCCCATTCCTGGACTCGCATAAGAACCCCCCCCCCCCAAGATCTTGGGAAATAATTTTTACATAAGCCTACAGATCCATAGGAGAATACTGATACATACTGCGCTGAAAACTTTTTGGACTTTCTCCACCTTGAAATAATTTGACTCGTTGCTCCCCAGCATGTACTCCTCCAAGATCTTGCTGGCTTCTTCAGTGTACTTATCAGTGTCCTCTAGAACTGTTGTTCTTACAGGGCAGTGCTTACATTCATATATTTTTGGTGGAACTGTAAGAAAATGCACTGTTACCAACACTGTAGCATCATTGATCTGGGTTGTCTTCACACATTAAAGCTGGAACAAATACATTCGAAGTTTAGCGACAAATGAGGGAGGTCATCTTCAAATGCAATCTTCAAATGCTAAAGTTCTCAAAATTTTGTCTTTTAACCTTTGATATCAGCTAACGATTTAGTCATTAGCTGATATCAAATGCCACACTGCTCCTGCCACAAAAATTAAAATTCAAAGTCTGATGTTCAGCAGCCCAAACATTCCCCTCCCCCACAGTTTAAGACATGATGTTAATTTTTCTAATGAAATTTCTATCAACGTGACTGCAATTTCTGAGGTTTGTGGATGAACTGGTGTAGCACTGAGATAAGCACATAAAAGCTGTTTTCTATGTTTATCCGTGTCCAGGGGCATCCATGGGAAGGGGTCAAATGGACATGACCTATAAAAAAGGGAATAGGGCTTTGATCGGGCAGTTGCAGTCACCATCTTGACTTTTTTGACCATCCTGCCATGGATACCCCTTTTTGTCTCCACTTCAAATCCTGACTGACTCCCATCTCTGCTCTTCCCCAAACTGCAGTTGGATGCCTTGCCTTGATTTTTGTTTAATGCATCTATACATTTAAATCATAATTCCTATCTATCTATCTATCTATCTATCTATCTATCTATCTATCTATCTATCTATCTATCTATCTATCTAGTTTAAAACTGAAAAAAAATATTTCAGAGAAGTGGAACACGGCACACATATGAAGAGCCATCCACCTCTGAAAGTCGGAAGCCCTGATTTTCCCCCAGACTTTTTTAGGAGACAAGATTATACGTTGGCCGAAGGTGCAAAAAATAATCGTCTAGATCACTGATATGTTTCTTTAAGTATATTTGATCCTGACTTGTAATTCAGAAGATGTGAATACCTGGACTGACAGTGCAGTTGTACGCATATAGTTCTTCTGTCTCGAAAAGTTCATTTATATACATAACAGCCTTACATTGCCCCAAATCCTGGAAAAGACATAAGAAAAGGCATCAGTTCCAAGTTGTATTTTAGAGAAAGACAAAAGGTGAAGACTCTTGAGTAGGGGTTGACTCCTAGCAATGTTCTGGACAGGTCCATGGAATGTTCTTGGCACCAATACAGAAGAGGCTTGGTTTGCTATGTCCTTCTTTCCAGGATGGCTTTTCAATTTCCCTTCTTAGTCTACAACCTTGTATTTCCTGGGTCTCCCATCTAAGAACTAACCATCTCTGACCCCGCTTAGCTTTCTCAAGATCACCCCAGGTCAGTGTAAAGGTTAAGACTAATGAGGGGGGAAATCAGCAATTCCCAGATTAGAGAGGGGCATTATGTAAACATATCCCTATAGCCTGTCAAGCCACCAGTTGATTTGCCAAGGATCTCTTAATTCAGAAAGGTTGGTGGAAGAAGTCTAAAGTTTGAACCCTGGAGCATAAAATGTTTAAATGTTTAAATGTTCTGACTTTTTTGCACTGCAGTTGTATTTGAGGCTTCATTATTGTCTGCAATCAAGATTCTAATCTAGCTGAGTTGTGTCTGTGAGTCTTCTGCTAAGTGTAGCCAAAAGCTAAACTAAAGCTTAAGTATCTGGAGACCTGACATTTACTGCCAAACCCAGGTATGAAGACTGACAACCAAGGAGGAGCTGCTACCTACTATGACCTTGTCTGTTGACCAAGCTGGGAAGCTGAAAAATTATCCTGGAAGAATGAGTCCATGTAGTCACCTAGAGACATGCTTAGCCAAAGGAGTCATTATCTTTAGCATTACACCAATACATATATGTTGGAGGAGTGCCTCTTACAACAAGGGTGGGCAATCTCTTAGACTCTTAAACCCTCTTGCAATGCCGGGTGGAGGCTTGTGAGTTGGGGCATTCATGCATACATTAAAATGCCCTTGATAATTCACCCTATAATATTGATGCAGCAAAGATTGCTGGTAACTGAACTCTGCACTCCTTGTTTCTTCTGGCTATAACACTGGCAAGCTTGAAGGTGGGGGACTGACCGATAGGAAGGAAGCAGAGACATTCAGGAACTGTGGAATCAGTTCCTGGGAGTTGTGATGATGGAAAACCAGTCCAGATGGCTTTAAAAGGGGAGTGGACAGGTTCATGAGGATCAAGCTATCAATAGCTATTTATTTATTTATTTATTTAAATTTATTAGCTGTCCAGCTCCAGTGGATAATTAATATAGGCAGTATTCCTTAAATCCTGGTTGTTGGGATGCAACAGTGGAAGGGTGCTCTTGTCCTCCAGTCCATAGTGGTGAGCTTATCCCATTGGCAGTGGGTGAGGCAGACGTTCGATTAGATGGCCTAGACATTGATCAAGCAGGGCTCTTCATTTATTCTTATGAAGTTGTAGAAATCTGAGTTGTGAACTGTACTACTTCAGAGGCCTTGGAAGGGAGCAGGCTGCTCAGTCGTGTCTTACAAAGAAGGGGCCCAGAAGCCCAGAAGCCATCCTATCACCCTGACCTGCCACAGCATACGGAGGAACATCCTTGTGTTCTGAGACCTGAATACCCTTATAAACCAGGCTGTAACTGTTTCTTGCCTGTTGGAGGCTGTGTGATGTGTCTGAAAGAAATACGAAGGAAATATGTAGTGTGCATCTTACGAGCCAAGACGATACTGCTGATTCATTCGATGTCGCTTTTAAAACATGCAGATGATATCAGCTGGGAAGCTGATCACCAACAAGGTGAGTGTAAATGTGGAGCACTTTTTTTGGGCTTCACCCAAGAAAATCCCTTTTCTAAAACTAGTAATTGTGGATGGGATTATGGGGGTACAAATAATTTCATAATGTCACATGTCTGTTGGTTCGTGGTTAGAAAAGGAGGACTTTCCACAGACGTATAGTTTGAATAGTTGACGTTTAGAAAAAATAGTGATGGCCGTTACTTGCCGTTATACTTAAGAATGGTCTGTGTCCACAAGATGACCAGTGTTTTCCGGATATTACAGGACATTTTGTTTCCAAGACATCCAAAGTTAGGTACACTAAAGATGCATTTTTCTGAAATGGGAGAGAACAGAGTGAGATGGAAGAAATTCAGTCATGTTTCTGCTGAAGATGTTTGATAAAAGAAGAGGCAAATTCATTTTTAAAAAAATAAAATAAGGATAATTTTTTATTTTTAAAAAGTAGCTCATCATCTAGTAATTACCCATGATAATGTGGGTCTTGATCCACAGCAGTGAAAATCAGTGTTGCTGATTTCCAGGTGCAACATATACATATGTGGGCTTCTGCCTATTTCAGATGCACACACATATATAAGTGTGCTTGAAATGCTTGATTCCCCCAAGAACTTCCTTAAAATTATGAATTAGGATGACTTCCATGCAGGTTTATTAAAGGTCATTGCAAACCCACATTCAAATTATGAAATAAATGAACAAATGAAACAGCAGAGAACAAGGGTAAATACTTCATGGAAGAAACCTGATCAAGTTGCCAAATTGAATCTGATTTCCAGACTGAATCAGCAAATCAATATGAACTTCTAAAATGGAATGAGAAGCCTCTAAATCAGCTAGGTAACATCTGCATATATCATATCAGAAATTGGTTCCCATCTCTTCAATTCCAAACCAAATAAATGGTTTTAATTGTTTTTGCTTCACTTGCACAGTCCAGCTAGAGAAACTGGTTTCAGTGGTCAAATCTTTGGGGTGTTTCCAGATGACAGGTTTAACTCTTAGAAAGGGACAACTAATTATACTTGGATTAATTTCTACATGCCTGATTTTTTGTGGTTGGTTTTGTGACACTTGCCACATGACATTCAGACTGCTTCTGGCTAGAATAGCCAGATGATAGCTTATCAGACTAAGCAATGATTGTCCTTGCTGCCCTCCAGGGCAACAAATCAATGACTGCCTTTTTGCCCATCTGCCAGAGATCCTCTCCATTGTTCCTAAGCATGCATGGATCACTAACTGAAAACATATTCTTTAGACAACCATCCCCAAAGGAAAAGAGACTTCTGAAAATATTTTATTTTATTTCTATATGGCCTTTCATTTCAGAGTGGTTTATGAGAAAACAATATAAGTAGTCTAATACAACAATTCCAATAAAACCAACAAACCTTAAAAACAGCACATAAACAATTAAGGAAAATGGATGGATGGGAAGGAAGGAAGGAAGGAAGGAAGGGAGGGAGGGAGGGAGGAAGGAAGGAAGGAAGGAAGGAAGGAAGGAAGGAAGGAAGGAAGGAGAGGGAGGTTAGGGCGAGATGTCTTCAACTGTTTTGTTTTCTGAAAGAAGGCAGTCTGAGGAGTGATCAAGACCACTTTGGGAATCCCATAATATCCTGAAAGGCTGCAGTAATGGGAAAGGGTTCTGAAGAAAATGCACACTTTCTTGAAAAATAGACCTGGGATCCCAACATTTTTGAATGAATTCACTTGATTCTCACATACCATTGTGAGAATAATGGGAGCATGGACCATGGCAGAGCTGAGAAGAAGTCCTTGTGCAGTAGAGTCCAGAGATCTAGAACTGCGAGCAGCAGGAACTAGTGAGACTGACATCTGGGAGGTTATATAAAGGAGACTGACCAAACCCAGTTTGTTTCACATGCTAAAATTATGACCGGGATGCCTAATAATTTTAGTTATTTTACTTTTATTTCTAGTGTTGTCAATATTATTGTTTGTTTCTTCTCATAAACTGGTGGAAAAGAAGAGATTCTAGGTTTCTCAATGTTCACAGTGGCTAATGTTTCTATTTGTACTTTAAAATTAAGCACATTTTAAAATAAATTAGGCTCAAGTAAGTTTAGAAGCTTGTCAAGTTAATTAGTAATGTTTTATAAAATGATTTTTTCCCCTAAAAGTGCCATTAACCCCCCCACCCCCAAAAACAGCTCCCAAATGACCCAAGTAAGCACTTCCAAATGTATCACACAATGCAGTCAAATAACTATCTGGTGGTTGTATTAAATCGGTGTATTATGACAAACATGCACTCAATGCTGGAACCAGGCTGCAGTCAGTGACAGAGCCAACCACAGCTGTGGTACTTACCAGATGTTGCACATGAGCATCAGCAACACGAAACAGGGCAAAAATGTAGCCATCTGTGCGATACTTATTGATTAGATCGAGGGCCACCTCCGCATCCTTATCTATTTTTGCATCATTGCAGTCTTCAGGGACCGTCAAGATTTGGCTTGGGGTACAAGATGTGGTCCATGCCACAATAAACAGAGCACCTGCTAGCAATTTCATTTGGGCTGTGCAACGGACTGATCCTCCAGCCACCAGATCGGAGCTCTTTTGAGCTGATACTAGAAAGTCAATTCCAGTATTTTGTTTTGTTTTTTCTTGCCGACCTGGCCTCTAGGTTCTTGAACCAGTTGCCTTGATCCCTGGTTAAAAAAAATAAATAGAAAATGAATGATTGATGGAGTAAATAGGAGGGAAAGAGGATCCCAAATGAGGGACTAATATCTGAACCAATGGATAAAATAGTGTGAAACTCAGGTATTGCAAAGGTTAATGATATTGGGGTACAGGAAGAAAGGGATAGCTTGCATAAATTTAAGGAATGGATCCAAGTACATAGAATTCTGTTGTTTTAAAAAGAAATAAAGGCTTCTCATTCATGTTGCAAATGGGTAGAGGTGGACTAAATTCCTTTGAATTGCAGAGGAGCAGCCCAGGACACTTGCACATATGGGAATTCAAGCATCAATCACCAAGGGAATGACTGAATTCACATATTGACCTAAGCCACATTGTGACTTGCTTCCCTATGGCTTAACATGTTGCATTTAGAAACCATGCTTTATGCTTTAATGCGCTGTGTGAGCCCACCCACTTATGGGTTATTGCCATCAGGGTCTGTGGGGAAAGTCAAAATCTGCAAGATGGTGGGCTTCGATTGCAACCTCACACCTGCTGTCTTGCAGATTTTGACCTTCCCCACAGACCCTGATGGCAATAACCCATA